TTGTATTGGGTTGTGTTGTATTTAGTTGTGTTGTTTTGTATTTAGTTGTGTTGTTTTGTATTGGGTTGTGTTGTATTTAGTTGTGTTGTTTTGTATTGGGTTGTGTTGTATTTAGTTGTGTTGTTTTGTATTGGGTTGTGTTGTATTTAGTTGTGTTGTTTTGTATTGGGTTGTGTTGTATTTAGTTGTGCTGTTTTGAATTGGGTTGTGTTGTATTTAGTTGTTGTTTTGTATTGGGTTGTGTTGTATTTAGTTGTGTTGTTTTGTATTAGGTTGTGTTGTATTTAGTTGTGTTGTTTTGTATTGGGTTGTGTTGTATTTAGTTGTGTTTGTTTGTATTGGGTTGTGTTGTATTTAGTTTTGTTGTTTTGTATTGGGTTGTGTTGTAAAGTTTTATTTAATTGTGTTGTATTTAGTTTTGTTGTGCGGTGTTGTATTGTGTTGTTGTATCGGGGTTGTGTTGTTTCACTGTAAGACAATGAATGAATGCATGTAGCAAAATGACAATGAAGCTCATTGACGACTTGTGTTGCGCTGTATTTGGTTGTTTTATTGGTGTGTGTTGTTGTGTTGTTCCACTGTAAAACAGTGAACACGTAGCGAAATGACTTGACTTGTGTAGTTGTGTTGTGTATGCTGAGGGCAGTGCTGTAATGAAGGCTGGATCTATAGTGTGTGTGTGTGTTGTGTAGTTGTGTTGTGTATGCTGAGGGCAGTGCTGTAATGAAGGCTGGATCTATAGTGTGTCCATCATGTTGTGCAGCAGATGTCGATATTGTGTTGATGTGACGGAGAATCATTGAGCTGCTGCTGTCGCTTCCTCTGCATGTTCATTTCCCTCATTCACACACACACACACACACACACACACACACACACAATACACTCAACTCTACTACTACTGCCACACACACACACACACACAATATTGATTTAAATGTATTTAATAGAATAAAATAATGCAAGCCTGCTCTATTGTTTTTTTAGTTTATTTATTTATTTATTTGACATTTATTTTTTAATAAATTAATTTTTACAAATTTAAATCAAGTTTGTTACTTTGCAAAACATTTATCCTGCCGTGATGTTTATTTTATACAAATAAAGTTAAACCGTTTAGCTTTTTACATTTATAAATAAATCAGACTTAAACAGATCCTCATTTATAATTCTGTGTGGAGTTTGCATGTTCTCCCCGTGTTGGTGTGGGTTTCCTCCTGTATGAGTGTGTGTATGGGTGTTTCCCAGTTCTGGGTTGCAGCTGGAAGGGCATCCGCTATGTAAAACATATGCTGGAATAGTTCATTCCTCTGTGGCGACCCCTGATGAATAAAGGGACTAAGCTGTAGGAAAATGAATGAATGATTGATTATTGTCAGGCCATTTTAATTCATATTTTGATCAATATTTGATTACAATATATATAAAACACTACATATATGTTTATTAATCAAGCTAATTTTATAGCTTAAACGTTTCAATACAGTAGTTTTTCCATTTACGTTTTCTTCAGTGAATAGATGACACTGAATGCGGTGTGTGTGTGTGTGTGTGTGTGTGTGTTTTAGATCTGCTGCAGTGTAACACTGCCCTCTGCTGTCCGCTTCACGGACTGATCAACAAACACGAGTTTCTTGTGATAAAGCTGAGACAGTGGAATAAAATGAAACGAAAAGCTAAAATACTTGAAATTATAAATTATATTAACACTTTACCAGCATCAGTGAGACTAAAACAAATAGCAGAGGGTCATTCCACTGTGGTGACCCCTGACAAATAATGGACTAAGCTAAAATAAGATGAATTAAATAATAATAATATTAAAATAATATAATAATCTAAATAATAATGATAATATGAATAAGAATTTTAATATAATAATAATAATAATAATATAAATAATAATAATGATAACATTAAAATAATAATCTAAATAATGATAATATGAATAAGAATTAATATAACAATAAGATATAAATAACAATAATATCAATATAATGTTAATTTAATAATAATAATAATAATAATAATAATAAAATAATCATAACGACAATAAAAATAAAATATAATATAATAACGATATAATCATATTTATAATAAAACAATAATAACAATAATAATGTAATAATAAAAATAATAATAATATTTATTAATAATAATAATAATATAATAATGGTATAATATAACATTAATAATGATAATAATAATAATATGTAATAATAATAATAATAATAATAATAATAATAATAATAATAATGCAATAACAATAATAAAAATAATAATAATAATATATATTACTTATTATACTAATAGTAAAATATTAATACAATAATAATAATAATAATAATAATAATAATAATAATAATAATAATAACAACAACATATAATGATATTGTAATAATAATAATCATAAATCTGTGTTGTTTATATAATCAATAGATTTCAGCACAACACTTTGACGTATTTTATGGTTTTATTCAATTATTTTGGCACAAATGAAATGAGGCAGATTAACTTTAGCGTTACAGCAGAAACCGAAAGTCAATCATACAAACAGAATCTCTCCTTAATGAACTCTGATAGTCCAGCACAGCTGATCTCAGACCTGTGTGTGCTTTACTACATCATCAGATTATATGAAGATCCACAATTACTGTCCTGCATCACTCAAACACTGCTCTCACACACACACACACACACACACACACACACACACACACACACACTTTTCTGTCTCTCTCACACACACACTTTCTTTCTCTCACATTTTCGGTTTCCAACACACTCACACACTTCTCTCACTCTTACAGACACACTAACAAACGCACACTTTCTTTGACATTACACATTTTTACAGACACACACTTTGTTTTACAAACACGCATTCTCTCACACACACTTTCTCTGACATACACACTTTGACACACATTTTCTTTCAAACACACTTTTTGTCCACACACCCTCTCACAAACTCACACACACGTTCTCTCTCTCTCAAATACACTCACACACATTTCACATTCTCAGACACACACACACACACTTTCTCTCTCAAATTCACTGTCAAACTCTCTCACACACATTTCACATTCTCAGACACACACCCTTTTTCTTTCAAACACACACTCTGTTAGAGACATGCTTTCTGTCTCTCTCTCTCACACACACACACTTTCTCTCTCTCTAATACACACACACCAGTAGAAACACATCTCCACACACTCCTCAGACTGTTGTTGTTCAGCTTTAATCAGTTTAGAGCTCGACTCTAAAAGCAAACTTACACAGAAACCTGGAATAAAGTGCGTGATTGAAACAGAGCTGTCTCTATCGCAGCCCCCCGCAGACCCCCGGCACATTCACTGCAAAACAACGCAGCATTTCACCCCGAGATGCAAACCAAAAAAAGATCATCATAAATAAAAATAATC